TCAAAAACAAAACAAAACAAAACAAAACAAAACAAAAAAACGTAGACACCCGTAAAGGCACCATCACGATCAAGAAAATAAACACAGCAGGGTGCAGTGGCTCACGCCTGTAATCCCAACACACTGGAAGGCTGAGGTGGGCGGATCACTTGAGGTCAGGAGTTCAAGATCAGCCTGGCCAAGATGGTGAAACTCTTGTCTCTACTAAAACTACAAAAATTGGTAGTGTATGCCTGTATTCCTGGCTACTCAGGAGGCTGAGGCACAAGAATTGCTTAAACCCAGGAAGCAGAGGTTGTGGTGAGGTGAGATCACACCACTGCACTCTGACAGAGTGAGACTCCATCTCAAAATAATAATAATAATAATAATGATGACTCAATTGTAACCTCAACCTCCTGGGCTCAAGCGATCCTCTCACTTCAGCCTCCTAAGTAGCTAGGACTACAAGTGCATGCCACCATGCCCACCCGATTTAAGAAATTTTTTTTCATAGAGATGGGGTCTCATTATATTGCCCAGGCTGGTCTTGAACTCCTGGGCTCAAGTGATCATCCCACTTAGGCCTCACAAACTGCTGGGATAATACAGGCATGACACACCATACCTGGCCTTTCTTATTACTGAATTTTCAGAGTTCTTGATGTATTCTTGGATACAAGTTTTCTGTCAGATCTACAAATTGTAAGTATTTTCTCCCGATCAATGGTTTTACCTTTACATTCTCTTAATAGTCTTTCTATAAGAAGTAGTTTTGAAATTTTGTTGAAGTACAATTTACCAATTTTTTTCTCTTATGAATTGTGTATTTAGTGTCCACCTAAGAAATCTTCTGCCTAACCTACAGTTGCAAAAATTTTCTGCTTTGTTTTCTTCTAGAAGGTTTATAGTTAAGTTGAAATTTAGGTTTGTAATCCATTATGAGCTGGATAAACAATAGAGATAACCAATGAAGCCAGAAGGTGGTTCTTTGAAAAGGTCAATATGATTGCTAAACTCTAGGTAGACCAACCAAGAAAGAAAGAGGACACAATTATTGAATACAAATTACCAGTATCAAAAGGAAAGAGATGTTGTTAAAGATCCTACAGATATTTAAAATGGTTAACAAGGAAATGTTATTAATAACTTGATGCTAATAAATTTTGTGACTTTAGGCCAGGTGCGGTGGCTCACGCCTGTAATCTCAAGCACTTTGGGAGGCCAAGGCGGGTGGATCACGAGGTCAGGAGATCGAGACCACCTTGGCTAACAAAACAAGGCTGGGTGCAGTGGCTCATGCCTGTAATAGACATTTTAGCAAAGATGTACAGACGGTAAATAAGCACATGACAAAGTGCTCAACATCATTAGACATTAGGAAAATGCAACTGAAACAATGAGAATTTCCAGTATGGGAAGATGAAAAAAGTTCTGGAGAGAGTGGTGATGATTGTATAACAACGTGAATGTACTTAATACCACTGAACGGTATGTTTAAAATGGTTAAAATAGTAAATTTTAGTTACATTTTACTACTAGATGATTAATATAGTTAAATACTGGTCAGGTGCAATGGCTCACACCTGTAATCCCAGCACTTTGGGAGGCTGAGGCGGGAGGATCACTTGAGGTCAGGAGTTCAAGACCAGCCTGGCCAACATGGCAAAATCCCGTTTCTACTAAAAACACAAAAATTAGCTGGGCTTTGTGGCGCATGCCTGTAACCCCAGCTACTCAGGAGGCTGAGGCAGGAGAATCGCTTGAACCTGGAAGGCAGAGGTTGCAGTGAGGCAAGATTGCGCCACTGCACTCTAGACTGGGCGACAGAGAGAGACTTTGTCTCAAAAAAAAAAAAAAAAAATTATATATATATTTAAATACCGTGTATTTAAAATAAATCACATTAAAGATTTGAAATGAGATGAGCTATTTGTGTGACTAGAGAAAAACAACCCCAAAAACCTTAAGTATTTCTAAGGTAATGTAAGAAGACATCTCTGCTGCATGCAGTGGCTGACACCTGTAATCCCAGTACTTTAGGAGGCCAGGGCAGGTGGATCGCTTGAGCCCAGGCGCTTGAGACCAGCCTGGGCGATGTGGCAAAATCTTGTCTCTACAAAAAATACAAGAATTAGCTGAGTATGGTAGTGCACTCCTGCAGCCCCCAGCTACTCGTGAGGCTGAGATGAGAGGATCACCTGAACCCAGGTGGTTGAGACTGCAGTGAGCCATGATCATTCCACTGCACACCAGCCTGGGTGACAGAGCAAAACCCTGTCTTAAAAACAAAACAAGGCTGGGTGCAGTGGCTCATGCCTGTAATCCCAGCACTTTGGGAGGCTGAGGCAGGCAGATCACGAGGTCAGGAGATCGAGACCATCTTGGCTAACACGGTGAAACCCTGTCTCTACTAAAAATACAAAAAAATTAGCTAGGCGTGGGGGCGGGTGCCTCTAGTCCCAGCTACTCGGGAGGCTAAGGAAGGAGAATGGCATGAACCCGGGAGGCGGAGCTTGTAGTGAGCTGAGATCGCACCACTGCATTCCAGCCTGGGCAACTGAGCAAGAATCCGTCTCAAAAAACCCCCCAAAAAACAAAAAACCAAACACCAACTCTGAGATAGTTCTAATTACATGGTTAGAAATAATAATAGCATGTGTTAATATATTATTGTTGGACACATAAACCACCCTGCATTTCTTTCTTTTTTGGAGACAGGGTCTTACTCCTATTGCCCAGGCTGGAGTAGAGTGATGCAATCATGTCTCACTGCAGGTTTGACTTCCCATGCTCAGGTGATCCTCCCACCTCAGCCTCCTGAGTAGCTGGGACTACACACCACCACATGCTGTTAATTTTTTTTTTTTTTTTAAGTAGAAACAGGGATTTGCCATATTGCCCAGGCTGGCCTAGAACTCCTGGGCTCAAATGATCTGCTGGCCTTGGCATTCCAAAGTGTTGGGATTACAAGCATGAGCCACCATGCCTGGCCTGCAATTTTTTTTTTTTTTTTTTTTTGAGACGGAGTCTCACTGTGTCGCCCAGGCTGGAGTGCAGTGGCGTGATCTCCACTCACTGCAAGCTCTGCCTCCCAGGTTCACGCCATTCTCCTGCCTCAACCTCCAGAGTAGCTGGGACTACAGGTGCCCGCCACCACACCCAGATAATTTTTTTGCATTTTTAGTAAAGACAGGGTTTCACTGTGTCAGCCAGGATGGTCTCAATCTCCTGACCTCGTGATCCACCCACCTCGGCCTCCAAAAGTGCTAGGATTACAGGCATGAGCCTCTGCATCCTGCCACCTGCATTTTTTAATAAACATGTACACACAGATACACATATACACACACAAACCAAGATACTACATGTCCAATAAAATGGTAAAATTTAAACAACTAATAATACCAAATTTTAAAGAGTATTTGGAACAACTAGAGATATTACACATTATTCGTGGGAATATAAAATGATACAATAACTTCTGGGTATGTTCACAGCAGATTTATCAATAATGGCCAAAAATAAGAAAACCTAACTGTCCATCAACAAATGAATAGATATATAAATCATGTATTCCCCCCCCAAAAAAAACCCAAACTAACTTTTGATACATATAAACATGAAAAAAAATCTCAAAATTATTATGCAGAATCAAAAAAGCTAGGCGCAAGAAACATACAGTATGATCTCCACATAAAATTCTAGACCAGCAAAACTAATTTATAGTAACAAAAAACTAGTCAATAAGTATCTGACTGAATGCAAAGGGGCACACAGTTGTTTTTCAATGGCAGTGGAAATATCAGCTTAGCTGTGATGCTACTTACAATGCAATAATCACTATAAAACTTATCGCACTGCATACTTTACTATATGTAAACTACACTCATTAAAGTTGATTAAAATAATTTTTAGACTTCTAATTCTAGTTGTAATGCTGTTTCCATTCAACTACTATAAATCATATTTGATAGTTTATATGGACTTACAGTAATTTGGGGGCATATAAAAGGAAAAGGACACAGCAAAGGACTCCTTTGGGGCTCATGGAGCACGCAAGTGACAATAAAGCCTGGCTCTGGTTTACCTGTCACTGTAGAGTTTTAGAAGGTGAAAACACACATCTCGAAGTTGTGCCTGTGAGTTTTGCTCCTCCGCTATCACACAGCCAGAACCCTCCAGATATGAAGGAAGTGGGGAGCAGGCGTATCTGTCGCTGTCAGAGGTATTCTGAAGGAATAATTTGATAAAACAATACATTAGCTCCTAATCAGTTTTACTAGATGCCATCATGTTTCTTTTTTTTGAGATGGAGTCTCACTTTGTCACCCAGGCTGGAGTGCAGTGGGGCAATCTCAGCTCACTGCAACCTCCGCTTCCCAGGTTCAAGCAATTCTTCTGCCTCCGCCTCCCGAGTAGCTGGGATTACAGCTGCACACCACCACACTTGGCTAAGTTTTGTATTTTTAGTAGTGACAGTGTTTTGCCAAGTCGGCCAGGCTGGTCTGGAACTCCTGACCTCAGCTAATACACCTGCCTTGGCCTCCCAAAGTGCTAGGATTAGAGGTGTGAATGACCGCACCCGCCCTAGATGCCATTATGTTTCAAATACTTAAGACACCTGTATTAAGCATGCATAGACAGCCATATGCAGTGGCTTGAGCCTATAATCTCAGCACTTTGAAAGTGGGAGGACTGCTTGAGCCAAGTAGTTCAAGACCTGCCAGGGCAACATAGCAAGACCCCATCTCTACAAATAAAAAAATAAAATTGTATTTTTTTGTAGTTCAAAAGCATGATTGGGTGTTCATGCATGCATGTGTGAGATGTGCCACCCTCGAACCTTGTGATAACACTGGCATATTACCCATCTGACATAAAAAGATAACAAAATTTTTTTTTTTTTTTTAAAAATTAGCCAGGTATGGTGGCATGCACCTGTAGTCCCAGCTACTCAGGAGGCTGAGGCAGGAGGGTCACCTGAGACTAGAGTCCAGGAGGTCAAGGCTGCAGTAAGCTGTAATTGCCCCACCGCACTTCACTCAAGTTTTGGGTGACAGAATGAGATCCGATCTCGATTAAAAAAAAAAAAAAAAAAAAAAGCT